GTCTCAGCACACCCCAGTGGGATCTGCAGGCCTGGGGATCAACCCTCGGACCCTGCTCCTACTTGCAGTTGCTTTAATCTGCTGAGCTATTTGGCCAGCCCTTGTCTTTCTTTTTCTTTTTCTTTCTTTCTTTCTTTTTTCTTTTTGTCTTTTTTGAGACAGGGTCTCACTGTGCAGTTCAGACTGTCCTGAGCTCACAAACTCCCAAAGATCCTCCTGCTCGCTGGGCTCAGTATTCCTATCATCTCCATTTCACAGATGTTGAAAATTGAAGATCAGATAGGTAACTTGGCCAAGGTGACTCAGTAAGAGATGTTACTTGAGTCCCAACGTGGTCCAAATGCAGGAGTGTTTGTTTGTTTTGAGACATGATCCTGCTGTGTAGTTCAAGTTGGCTCTGGACTCACTATGGAGCCCAGGCTGGCCTCAAATCTGCAGTGATCGTCCTGTCTCGGCCTCCTGAGAGCTGGGGTTACAGGTGTGCACCGCGCACCTGGCTGTGAGTGCAGAATGCAGCCCCTGGATGTGGTGGTTCTGCCCAGCCACATGTACTACAGCTAATCAGGAATACACCATTCTTCTGGGATGAAGTCATCGCTGGAATTCAGGGTGGGGGAGGCTGGTCCTTTGCCAAGGAGGTGAGTCCTGGGGTGCAGAATGGGAGCGAGCAGACTGAGGACATTTGGGTACCTCTTGTCGTGTCTCCTGGCAGCAACTGGAGGCAGATACTCCAGGATTAGAGGGCCAGCAGGTGACCAAGACCTCCTGGTGCCCATCCCACAGTGAGGGTTCATCCGAGGGCTGTGTCCAGTCGGCTCTCAGACTGGAGGCGGGCAGCGAATGGGAGGGCCGGCCCCCAACCTCCCCAGCTGTTTGTTAGCATCCCCTCCCGCAGCCCTTCGGAGAGGGCTCAGCCTCATAGGTTGTTTCTAGTGCTCCCTCTGGTGGTAAAGATTTATCACTGCATCTTTAGTAAGGAAACAGCAATGCTTTTGGAACCGTCCTCCCTCCCTCCCCCCTCCCCCTCCCTCCCCCCT